CGGGAGCAAGGGGCTAGTAACCTCTTCTCCTGTATATATTACTAAATGTAAAAGGAGAAACTTTCGTTTTTCCTTTTGGGCCACCCCGCCTCGGTGGGATACGGCCGGTGTGTTAGATAGGAGTGAATGGAGACGAATGGTACTTGGGACCTGACGATCTGTTGGAGTGTGAGCAGGGTAATATTTAGTGAAGGGATTCAGGGAAACCGGTTATTTTCATATAGTCGGACTTGAGTCCTGGAAATGGGAAGTACAATGCCTGCACTTTAAAGGAGGGGTTTGGGATATTGGCAGTTTGGAGGAATATGTTGTGTATCTTTATATGTGTATGCTTCTAGACTGTTGTATTCTGAGCACCTCTGCAAAAACAGTGATAATGTGCGAGTGTGGTGAAAGTGTTGAATGATGATGAAAGTATTTTCTTTTTGGGGATTTTCTTTCTTTTTTTTGGGTCACCCTGCCTCGGTGGGAGACGGCCGACTTGTTGAAAGAAAAAAAAAAAAAAAAAAAAAAAAATATATATATATATATATATATATATATATATATATATATATATATTTTCTAGGTAGTAGGTTGGTAGACAGCAACCGCCCAGGGAGGTACTACCGTCCTGACAAGTGAGTGCAAAACTGAAGCCTGTAATTGTTTTACACGATGGTAAGATTGCTGGTGTCTTTTTTTTTATCTGTCTCATACACATGCAAGATTTCAGGTATGTGTTGCTACTTCTACTTACACTTAGGTCACACTACACATACATGTACAAGCATATATATACACACCCCTTTGGGTTTTCTTCTATTTTCTTTCTAGTTCTTGTTCTTGTTTATTTCCTCTTACCTCCATGGGGAAGTGGAACAGAATTCTTCCTCCGTAAGCCATGCGTGTTGTAAGAGGCGACTAAAATGCCGGGAGCAAGGACCCTAGTAACCTCTTCCCTGTATATATTACTAAATGTAAAAGGTTTAAACTTTCGTTTTTTCCTTTTGGGCCACCCCGCCTCGGTGGGTTTAGGGCTGTGGGGTTTTGAAAGAAGAAAGAAATATATATATATATAATATATATACATATATATATACATATATATATAGTCATATAGTCGGACTTGAGTCCTGGAAATGGGAAGTACAATGCCTGCACTTAAAGGAGGGGTTTGGGATATTGGCAGTTTGGAGGGATATGTGTGTGTCTTTTATATGTGTATGCTTCTAGACTGTTGTATTCTGAGCACCTTTTGCAAAAACAGTGATAATGTGCGAGTGTGGTGAAAGTGTTGAATGATATGAAAGTATTTTCTTTTTGGGGATTTTTTTTCCCTTTTTTGGGTCACCCTGCCTCGGTGGGAGAGGGCCCCGACTTTTTGAAAAAAAAAAAAAAAAAAAAAAAAAAAATAATATATATATATATAAATATATATATTTTTATATATATAATATTATATATATATATATAAAATATATATATATATATATATATATATATACATAACATACATACATACATATATATATAATGATCTTGCAATTTGTATACATTGTTCCTTTAAATTTCCCATCATTCTTTTTCATATCGCAGAAGTTGGAACTTGTCACCACTGAACGCATGTTATCCTCCAGTGTCCACTGCAACACTTGATATCTTCCAGTGTCCACTGCAACACTTGATATCTTCCAGAATCTTTCCGTGTCTTCTACCCAGGTGATTTTCATGCTTTTTTTCGGTATCATCTCTAAATGATGATACAAAACTGTGTGAGTATTTTTATCTACGGCAGCCGTGAGGATAAGAAACAGTAGAGGCACCAGGACAGTGCCTTGGGGGTACGAATTTTCCACTTTCCTAAATGCTGCATTTTGCCGTGTTTCTTACACTCTTGTGTTCTGTTTGTCAGAAAATTTAAAATCCTAATCACCGCCAATTTCGTGTAATCAGGAATAATCACATTTTGTCACCAGCTTAAGCGAGAAAGTCCATAGTACAACCCCAACTCCGTTCCGATTTTCTTCCAAAGTCTCCATAATTCTATCACAGTGGATTTGTAGTGACAGAATGAATCTCTCAGCTGTAAAAACCCCAGTGATTAGGTTGTGCAGACTATGTTGTTTTCCCTATATCTGGTGTTAGTGCTACTGGTCTGTAATTCTAGCTCTGCTACCTTCCCTGTGCCAGGGGTCTGTGATTCTAGTTAGTGCTCTGCTACCTTCCCCGTGCCAGGGGTTTTGTGATTTCTAGTTCGTGCTCTGCTACCTTCCCTGTGCCAGGGGTCTGTAATTTCAAGTTAGTGCTCTGCTACCTTCCCTGTGCCGGGGTCTGTGAAATTTTTAGTTAGTGCTCTGCTACTTCCCTGTCAGGGGTCTGTGTTTTCTAGTTAGTGCTCTGCTACCCTTTCCCTGTGCCAGGGGTCTGTGTTTTCTAGTTAGTGCTCTGCTACCTTCCCTGTGCCAGGGGTCTGTGATTTCTAGTTAGTGCTCTGCTACCTTCCCTGTGCCAGGGGTCTGTGAAATTTTTAGTTAGTGCTCTGCTACCTTCCCTGTGCAAAGGGGGCTGTGTTTTCTAGTTAGGGGCTCTGCTACCTTCCCTGTGCCAGGGGTCTGTGATTTCTAGTTAGTGCTCTGCTACCTTCCCTGTGCCAGGGGTCTGTGATTTCTAGTTAGTGCTCTGCTACTTTCCCTGTGCCAGGGGTCTGTGATTTCTAGTTAGTGCTCTGCTACTTTCTCTGTGCCAGGGAACTGTCTACACTATTTAAGGTCTATCAGATTTCAATCTCCAAATAATTCCCATTGTTCATGCACTTTGCATTTTGCACTCTATTATAAATAAAAAAATCCAGGATTAACAACTCAATTAACCTCCTGAGCATCAGGATAGAAACTCAGATCTGTATATTTCGACCCTCTCCTGAGGTCCTCTTCAGTAGATGAGCATCAAAGAACATTAACAAGTATTCATAATACTTTAGTTTCTCGAAGAATTCCATGGATGTGGTCCAGGAGCTGCATGAGTGACCATGAATTTGGGGCCAGGAGCTGCATGAGTGACCATGAATGTGGTCCAGGAGCTGCATAGTGACCATGAATGTGGTCCCGGAGCTGCATGAGTGACATGAATGTGGTTCAGGAGCTGCATGTCAGCACACTTTTGGAAAAAAACAGTGATTGAATGAGTAAAAAGTGAAATGTTTTCTTCTTTGTTAGGTCACCCTACCTTGATGAGAGACAGCAGAAGTGTTAATAACAACAACAATAATAATTTAAAGATAATTTTCAAATAACTTCAAGTTATTTAACAATATGAAAAATTTATTCTTCTTCTTATTCTTTTTAGTAATCTTTACAGGAAAAGGGTTACTAGCCCATTGTTCCTGGCAATTTAGTTGACTTTTACAACAGCAAAGGCTTACGGAGGAAAAATTTTTAAATTTCCCCTTCCCCCCTGGATAAAAAGAAAAAGTAATAAACCCAAAAAATAATTTAAAATAAAATCAAAAAAACTCAGATGATTTTGTATATATAAACGTGTACATGTATGTGTAGTGTGACCTAAGTGTAAGTAGAAGTAGCAAAACATACCTGTAATCTTGCATATTTATGAGACAGACAAAAGACACCAGCAATCCTAACATCATGTAAAACAATTACAGGCTTTCGTTTTACACTCACTTGGCAGGATGGTAGTACCTCCCTGGGTGGTTGCTGTCTACCAACCTACTACCTACAATGCCTGCACTTTAAAGGAGGGGTTTGGGATATTGGCAGTTTGGAGGGATATGTTGTGTATCTTTATATGTATATGCTTCTAAACTGTTGTATTCTGAGCACCTCTGCAAAAACAGTGATAGTGTGTGAGTGTGGTGAAAGTGTTGAATGATGATGAAAGTATTTTCTTTTTGGGAATTTTTTTTTCTTTTTTGGGTCACCCTGCCTTGGTGGGAGACAGCCAACTTGTTGAAAAAAAAAAAAATGAAAGTTTATAGCATGAACAGAATTTCAGGCATACTTATACTAGGACTAGGTACCTATACTTAATGCTAATTGAATACATAGTTTATGCTTAGCTAATGGGTATAGTACAATGTACTGACACGATGTTTAAAATAATACAACAAGTTGTAGAAGGTTAACCCTTAAACTGTCCAAACATAGATCTACGTTCACGTGCGTAGCACTCCGAATGTAGATCTACATTTTTTTTTACATGCTTTCAAATGGGGAAAATGAAGGTCGGAGTGCTACGCATGTGAATGTAGATCTATGTTTGGACAGTTTAAGGGTTAAATGGTAATTTATGAAGTTACAATAAAACAAAAAATCATAGATTGTGATCTAAGCTTTCATCTTCATTGTTATTTTGTGAGAATTTTTAATAATTCTGTATGATTAAAATTTTCTTCAAATCGAGGCCTGGTCTCAGACCGGGCCGGGGAGGGCGTTGAATCCCCTGAAACCCTCTCCAGGTATCCACCATTATAGTAGTTTAGTTAGTTAGTTTAATATGTTTATTATGCACCCCATACCCATCCTGTGGGCGGTAGTCAAAAGATTACAGAGGTACATAATGGGTCCAGGGACTGGGCCTCAAAGTTTTGATAGCTGAGCAAGTTACAGAGGTAATGAATTCACAATTTACAAAGGTAATGAACTCACAATTTACAAAGGTAATGAACTCCAGGTAGGTCTAGTCACAATCATGACAAGTTACAAAGGTATTTACAGATTACAGAGGTACACAATGGGTCCAGGGACCGGGCTCCAAAGTTTTGATGGCTGAACTAGGTACAAGGTAATGAACTCACAAGTTACAAAGGTAATGAACTCACAAGTTACAAAGGTAATGAATACTGTAAGAATGGTTACTTACGTTTATACATGGCTGCAATCATGAACAAATTTTAGAGTAATGAGCAATTCACACTTCCACACCCGGTCACAACTGTAGTGAGTTATTGGTTAATCAAGGACAATAAATAATTATTTATTCAACAGACTAACATATTTTACCTGATTTAGGATGAATGTTGAGAAATTAGTATCTGGCTGGATTACTAGTTTCTTGTTATGCCCACACAAACTCTTCTCAAAAGCTTGCTCTAAATCTTGGGTATAATTATTTGATTCAAGAACTTGTAAGGTGGTAACAGTTCCATCAAATTTCTGAAAATATATAGAATTTGAGAAAATTAAAAGGCATGCATGTTATAGAGGTTTTGGGTTTTATGTAAAAAAATTTCACACCTTCGTCAATATTATGGCTGCCTGCCAGCTGTCTCTGCCAGTTAATATCACCTAAAACTAATATTAAATTATTTACTGATGACTCATCATGTAGGCAAAAAGAGATCTTATGCAAGTCATGAGGCAATTTACATATGTTGGTTATGAGAAAGGTGGGGTAGTGGTCTGTAGTGTTGTCTGTGATTATACCTGCTAGTAGTGAAGATACAGTGTTGGTCTAGATATAATCAAGTAATGAGGCACTTGTTCAGAGATTCTTGTTGGCTTAGTTCTAGATCGTAATAGTAAGCAGTTGTTCATAGTGTTTATGAAATCAGCTACTGCAGGGTCAGCTGCTTGGATGAGGTTTATGTTGAAGTCTCCTGTAAGTATCAGTTGGTGTTTATTCAATTCTGAGTCAGTTATCATGTTTCTAAGGTTATCACCAAAAGGGTACGTATTTGTGGGTGGTAATCTGTAGACTGCTCCAACTGTTACAGTTCTCTGTAGGTTTTTTGATATGAATTTATCAAATATGTATTCACCACTGTCATCCCTGGTGCAAGTAAATTTCAATAATTCCAGTTTGCCAGAGTAGGAGATAGCAATGTCTCCTCCTGATTGATCAGGCCTGCAGTTATGTATGACTGTGTAACCAGGTAAGACAAGTATGTCTGTCAAGTCATGTTTGAGCCGAGTTTCAGTAAGAATAATGAAAGTTATCTTAGCATTTAGACTTAGGCAGTGCAAAGAGGTCATCAAGTGTTTACTTAATGATCTAACATTATAATTGAGAACTGTTATGTTCTTGCTGGCACTGAGTACAATTTTAGCCTGACTAGCAGTGTTGTAACAGTAATTACTGTTAGGATTATTTGTGCAGTTTAATAAGAGGTTAATGTCAGGATTGATATTTGTATTCCTAAGAAATGAAAATCAGTTTCTGTTAACCACTAACAAGGATGACTATATGGATTAAGACTATTATTAAAAGCTAAAAATATATGAGCTACTGAGTATAATAAACTGATTTATTACTTGCTACAGCACCTGGTGTTGCTAAATAACATACAATTTTAACAATATAGTAAAAAATATAATGAGGATAGCACAGTACTTGAACTATGAAATTTGAAGAAGGTTAACTAAAAAAAAAAATAGAAATATTTAATATGGATTGTAAATAAAAGTGTGTAATGAATTAATTACCCTACAGCAAAATAAATTTCAGTGGTTGATAAATAAGCCAGTAGGTATAGACTATAAAGGAATATCATATATCCTTTTATGCTAAACGAATGAGTGCACAATATTTCTAATACCACTTTAATTGGTTATAACAATTACAGTATTTGGAGAATAGCTGAATTTTGTGAAGTTAAAAAGAATAATTAATGCAGAAGTGAAGTAAGGCACTAAATTACAGTGGTAATTTTTATTTTATTTTATTTTATTTATGTCTTTGCAAATACAGTGGACCCCCACTTTACGATCAGCTCCCAATGCGACCAGTTATGTAAGTGTATTTATGTAAGTGCATTTGTACGTGTATGTTTGGGGATCTGAAGTGGACTAATCTAATTAACAATATTCCTTATGGGAACAAATTCGTTCAGTAATGGCACCTGAACATACTTCTGGAATGAAATAATATCATAAACCGGGGGTCCACTTTAGTACATTGAGACTATGTATTTACAATAGTGGGTTGCAATGCAAAGAGAGCCTCTATATGCCTAGGCATTATGGCTGACTTAACATTTTTGGCTTACTGACTACTTAATACTAAGAATGAACAATTTACGTGTTTATATCTGCTCACAATTGTAATGAGCTATATATGCAGATATTAATTTGGTCACACACACACACACACACACACACATGTGAACGACATGATGGAAGGAATAGACTCTGAAGTGTCCCTGTTCGCAGATGGGCGTGAAGTTGATGAGAAGAATTAAATCGGACGAGGATGAGGCAGGACTGCAAAGAGATCTGGAGAGGCTGGACATGTGGTCCAGTAATTGGCTTCTCGAATTCAATCCAGCCAAATGCAAAGTCATGAAGATTGGGGAGGGGCAAAGAAGACCGCAGACAGAGTATAGGCTAGGTGGACAAGACTACAGACCTCATCAGGGGGAAAGAAACCCTTGGGGTGACCATAACACCGAGCCCCATTTACCCGGGGGCACACATCAACCAAATAACCGCATGCAGCATACGGGCGCCTGGGGAAACCTGAGGGAAAAGCGTTCCGATACCTTAATAGGAATCGTTCAAAACACTGTACACTGTGTATGTTAGGCCCATACTGGGGTATGCAGCACCAGCTGGAACCCCCACCTGGTCAAGCACGTCAAGAAGTTAGAGAAAATACAAAGGTTTGCAACAAGGCTAGTCCCAGAGCTCAAGGGGAATGTCGTACGAGGAAAGGTTAAGGGAAATCGGACTGACGACACTGGAGGACAGAAGGGTCAGGGGAGACATGATAACGACATACAAGATACTGCGGGGGAATAGACAAGGTGGACAGAGATAGGATGTTCCAGAGAGGGGACACAGGGACAAGGGGTCACAACTGGAAGCTGAAGACTCAGACGAGTCACAGGGACGTTAGGAAGTATTTCTTCAGTCATAGAGTTGTCGCAAGTGGAATAGCCTAGCAAGTGAAAGTAGTGGAGCAGGAACCATACAAAAGTTTTAAGAAGAGGTATGACAAAGCTCAGGAAAACAGAGAGAGAGAGGATCCAGTAGCGATCAGTGAAGAGGCGGGGCCAGGAGCTGAGTCTCGACCCCTGCAACCACAATTAGGTGAGTACACACACACACACACACACACACAAAAAAAAAAAAAAAGAGATTGAAAATATCATCAAGCAAAAAGGAGAGGAGGACATGATTGACCTGATAAATTTTCAGAGAATGGGAGAATACTCAAGGGGAGGAAATCGGCCAGTCAAACTGATTCAAGACAGAAATGGTGCAAAACAGGATCCTGCAGCGGAAACCATGGCTGAAGGTAACAACAAAATACCAGCAGGTTTATTTAGATCACAATAGAACAAGAAGGAGAGATAAGGCTAGAGAAAAGCAGGTACACCCAGAGTCAGGAGGAGCAGCAAGCACAACCACCTGCACCCACAGAACCCTGCAACTAGACCCAAAACAAACCACACTCAACGCTCACAGCCCCCACTCCCCCAGAACAAACCCCACCTACACTGCAGCCTCCCATAGTACCCTGCCAGGTCTCCCACTCCCCCAGTCCCCACAAACCATCCCCCAAAATACAGTTTTGGAAAAGAAGCTGAAGGTATTTATTTATTTATTTGAACATGATACAGAGAAGTACAAGGAATACAATTTTTTAAAGTGCAGCATGCCAAAGCCCCTTGTATGCAGAGCATTATGGGCAGGCTTAAAATTTACTTAAGATTAGCTAAGCAATGATATATTCAGTGGTACAAAAATTATTGTAAAACAGATAAAAATTTAGTACAAATGAGAATTACAAAGAAAGGTCATATGGTCATTTACTGTGTTGTTGTGTAATCAGTAGAATGGAGTATTCTGTTAGGTAATGAAGTTAAATAGTAACAAAATTTGATTGGGTCACAGGTTGACATTTATGAGATACAATAATGAGATACATATATAAGATACAATTATTCAGTATTTATTTAGTTGTGGGTGAGTAAGTGATTTTTGAGAAGAAACTTGAATTTATAAACAGACAGTGTTTCTTTTATATTCACAGGTAATGAATTCCAGATTTTAGGGCCTTTTATGTGCATTGAGTTTTTGCACAGTGTGAGATGGACACGAGGAACATCAAAGAGTGATCTGTGCCTTGTGTTATGGTCATGTGTTCTGTTGAGGTTGGTAAGGAGATGTTTGAGGGGAGGGTTTATGTCAGAGTTAAGTGTTCTATGTATGTAGTAGGTGCAGTAATAAGTATGGATGTTTTGTATTGTGAGTAGGTTTAGAGTTTTGAATAATGGTGGAGTGTGCTGTCTGTAGTGGGAATTTGTTATCATTCTGACTGCAGCCTTTTGTTGGGTGATTAGTGGTCTGAGATGGTTTATTGTTGTTGACCCCCATGCACAAATTCCATAGGTGAGATAGGGGTAAATAAGTGAGTGATATAGGGCCAGGAGGGCTGACTGTGGAACATAGTATGGTACACAAATGCAGATGGAATAATGAATAAGTGTGAGGAATGGCACAAAAGAATCAAGGAGGCATCCCTGGACATCACAGCACTCACAAGAATGATAACTGATGCAATCTTTCCAAATGGATATCAGATCCTGAGGAAAGATGGGAATAGAAGGGGTACAGGAGTTGCACTGCTCATAAAAAAACAGTGGAGATTTGAGGAGCTGGAAGGAGGGGATAGAGGGGAAGCAAGGGACTACATAGTTTACCTGGAGAGAGTTCCGGGTGTCAATGCCCCTGCGGTCCGGTCTGTGACCAGGCCTTACCACAGGGTTGGCACTAGAAGCTTTCTTGGGGCCCATGGTGGCTTATTTTGCAGGTGCAATCACTAAAAACGCTGTGATAATATGAAATGTTCCGATTGTATGTTTGGATGGGACCACGGTGGCTGGCTGGCTTGTAAACACTGGCACCCACGGGACAAGTGAGGCACACTCAGGCCACAAGTGGACGCATCTCGAACGAAACGAATCGCGTTGGTCGAGTTTTTTACTGCTAGTCAAGGCAAAATTCTTGCATTAAAATGTATCACTAGTCGGATTTAACGTTATACAATGCCATCGTTGGTCGAGGGTCCACTGTACGTGTCCAAACTTCCCACCACTACAGATATCAGTACTAGAACTCAACACACAACTCAGGATATAAATAACCACAATTTAAACCTAGAAGATGATTGATCACGTTGACCCTGATCTAAACCTCCATAATCAAACACCCAATCAAAACCTATTGATAAGTAACTGCCTTTATTACACAGCATCACAAGCCAGCACTATCCTAAACAATGCTAAAAGTCTATCAGTTCTTAACTACAACATCAGGTCCTTAACCCTTTGAGGGTTTTGGCCATACTAGTATGGCTTACGATCAGGGTTTTTGACGTACTAGTATGCCTAAATTCTAGCGTCCTCAAATCTAGTGAGAAAAAGCTGGTAGGCATACGTATGAAAGAATGGGTCTATGTGGTCAGTGTGCGTGGTATAAAAAAAATCCTGCAGCACACAGTGCATAATGAGAAAAAAAACTTTGACCGTGTTTTTTGGAATAAAACAGCGACTTTGCACTGTATTTTTGTATGGTAATTATTGTTGTATTCTAGTTTTCTTGGTCTCATTTTAATAGAATGGAAGACATATTACAGAATTGACATGATTTTGACTGGTTTTACAATGAAAAGTACCTTGAAATTGAGCTCAAAGTAGCAGAAATGTTCGATTTTTACCAAAGTTCAAAAGTAAACAAATCATGCCAAGCGTCCAATACACGTCAACTGGTGAGTCTAATATTCTTTCACAAGTGCGCTGATATTATTTATACCATTTCTACACTAATGCAGCATTCTGCATAACAGTAAATCTTCTATTTTTTGTAAGAATAAAAATTGAAAGTGGAAAGCCAAAGAAATATAAGTGGGGCCTGGGGATGTGACTAACGAACAGAGGAAATGTTATTTTAGTGCCAGGAATGTCTTTCTTGTTTATTCTGGACCCTATTTGGAAACTAGGCATCTTTTGAAATTTGTGTGAAATTGGCAAAATTGCTAAATTCTGACCACTGTATTGGATAGTTTGAAATCAGTAAATGGGTGGTTTCTTGTACTCAATCAATAGAAAAAATAGAGTTCTAGAGAAATACGTACACATACATGGAGCACCCTTCTCACACTAAAGTTATAAGAAAATGTGATAACCTAACTGCTAACATGGAAAAACTTTTACTAATCACAATTCTATGAAGGCTGAGAGGTGAGGAAGCTGCTGAAGATAAGTTCGAAGCTAGCAGAGGAGGGTTTCATCTCCTCCTGACTTCCGACAATAAATACTACTCACCTCTTGCCCTATGTCAAGGCCAAAAATATTTGAAGATAAGCAATGAGTGTACTGTATATGTATACATTCATATTTTGTTTTTTTTAAGGTCTAGTCTATTCTTAACTTAACATATGATAGTGTAAACATATTATCAGGCATTTACATGCGTTTAAAAGTGAAAAAGGGTGATTTGCATCATGTCAGTAGCCAGGATAGTGGCTTTCTTTGTACTTAGCAAACCAAAATTGTAATTACACATTGTAACCTTTACAACTCCCTTCCTTAACATCATCACTAGTATGCCTGAGAGCTTTGCATTTATGCTTTTGTTTAAATATTTATGTGTAATCATTGCAAAATGTAGAGGAAAAACGTCTGAGATACTGTGTGTGTATTTCAGTATTGTCACTTATAAACAAGAACTGAAGGGTGGTGTGGGTCACCTACTATGCTGTGCCTGAGGATTAAAGTGGCCACCTAGCATCAAATTAGCCAAGGCATTCTGTTATATTCCAAAATATAGGTGGAGAAGATAACTGAATAATGAGTTACTAGTGACTTAGGGAGCTCATCATGGAGACACCCTGAGCATAAGCAATAGCTCGTAAATGACATTCAATACACTCTTATGGAAATACCCTGTATCAACCCCTGACACCAGCAGTATCCACCCACTACATGCCCTTCAAAGCATAAAAGTAATAGCAATATAAAATATTATTATTATTATCATTCTATTAGTAAGACATGAACTGGTAAAATTCATTAGTTTTTCTTTTTTTCTGCATCAGAATATAATGACAGTTTCATAAAATTTGCTGGAAATACAGATGAGTGGTTACAAAACCTAACATTGTTACTGTTACCAGTTTTGAATTTTGAAAACAAACTTTCACACTAGTAATGATAGAAGTAAATAATAAATATTCATTACTATGGTTTTGATGGCATGCTCTTCAATAAATTTTAGTAAAAATACAGTCATTGTAATTTTTTAAATATTTGTTGTTATATAAAACTCACATCAAGAGAAAACTGAAAGTGAGGTGGTGAATCATTGACTCCAGGCAGAGTTTGGACAACAACTAAAGCCAGAATTAAGAAAGCAATTGGGATGATATTCTGAAAAGAAAGAAAAAGCAACAGTTACAAAACATATACAGGTATATGAGATACTTAAAGAACTAAAATGAAAAAAATAACATTATGATAAAGGTTAATAAATAATTAAATAAAGAAATAATTTTCACCTGCCTTTCAAGGCAGGTGAAATTGCTGACCTAGAAAATGTACAGAGAACCTTCATGGCGCGCATAACGGAGATAAAACACCTCAAAGACTAGGAGCGCTTGAAGTTCCTGAACCTGTATTCCCTGGAACGCAGGCGGGAGAGATACCTGGAGTTACCTGGAGAGTTTCGGGGGTCAACGCCCCCGCGGCCCGGTCTGTGACCAGGCCTCCTGGTGGATCAGCGCCTGATCAACCAGGCTGTTGCTGCTGGCTGCACGCAAACCAACGTACGAGCCACAGCCCGGCTGATCAGGAACTGACTTTAGGTGCTTGTCCAGTGCCAGCTTGAAGACTGCCAGGGGTCTGTTGGTAATCCCCCTTATGTGTGCTGGGAGGCAGTTGAACAGTCTCGGGCCCTTGACACTTATTGTATGGTCTCTTAACGTGCTAGTGACACCCCTGCTTTTCATTGGGGGGATGGTGCATTGTCTGCCAAGTCTTTTGCTTTCGTAGTGAGTGATTTTCGTGTGCAAGTTCGGTACTAGTCCCTCTAGGATTTTCCAGGTGTATATAATCATGTATCTCTCCCTCTTGCGTTCCAGGGAATACAGGTTTAGAAACCTCAAGCGCTCCCAGTAATTGAGGTGTTTTATCTCCGTTATGCGCGCCGTGAAAGTTCTCTGTACATTTTCTAGGTCGGCAATTTCACCTGCCTTGAAAGGTGCTGTTAGAGTGCAGCAATATTCCAGCCTAGATAGAACAAGTGACCTGAAGAGTGTCATCATGGGCTTGGCCTCCCTAGTTTTGAAGGTTCTCATTATCCATCCTGTCATTTTTCTAGCAGATGCGATTGATACAATGTTATGGTCCTTGAAGGTGAGATCCTCCGACATAATCACTCCCAGGTCTTTGACGTTGGTGTTTCGCTCTATTTTGTGGCCAGAATTTGTTTTGTACTCTGATGAAGATTTAATTTCCTCATGTTTACCATATCTGAGTAATTGAAATTTCTCATCGTTGAACTTCATATTGTTTTCTGCAGCCCACTGAAAGATTTGGTTGATGTCCGCCTGGAGCCTTGCAGTGTCTGCAATGGAAGACACTGTCATGCAGATTCGGGTGTCATCTGCAAAGGAAGACACGGTGCTGTGGCTGACATCCTTGTCTATGTCGGATATGAGGATGAGGAACAAGATGGGAGCTAGTACTGTGCCTTGTGGAACAGAGCTTTTCACCGTAGCTGCCTCGGACTTTACTCTGTTGATTATATACACCTGGAAAATCCTAGAGGGACTAGTACCAAACTTGCACACGAAAATCACTCACAACGAAAGCAAAAGACTTGGCAGATGATGCAACATCCCCCCAATGAAAAGCAGTGGTGTCACTAGCACGTTAAGAGACAATACAATAAGTGTCAGGGGCCCGAGACTGTTCAACTGCCTCCTAGCATACATAAGGGGGATTACCAATAGACCCCTGGCAGACATACTGGGAGTGTAGAAGGCATACTGGGAGTGTAGCAGGCATACTGGGAGTGTAGCAGGCATACTGGGAGTGTAGAAGGCATACTGGGAGTGTAGCAGGCATACTGGGAGTGTAGCAGACATACTGGGAGCATAGCAGGCATACTGGGAGCGTAGCAGGCATACTGGGAGTGTAGCAGACATACTGGGAGTGTAGCAGGCATACTGGGTGTAGCAGACATACTGGGAGTGTAGCAGGCATACTGGGAGTGTAGCAGGCATACTGGGAGTGTAGCAGGCATACTGGGAGTGTAGCAGGCATACTGGGAGTGTAGCAGGCATACTGGGAGTGTAGCAGGCATACTGGGAGTGTAGCAGACATACTGGGAGTGTAGCAGACATACTGGGAGTGTAGCAGACATACTGGGAGTGTAGCAGGCATACTGGGAGTGTAGCAGACATACTGGGAGTGTAGCAGGCATACTGGGAGTGTAGCAGGCATACTGGGAGCGTAGCAGGCATACTGGGAGCGTAGCAGGCATACTGGGAGTGTAGCAGACATACTGGGAGTGTAGCAGGCATACTGGGAGTGTAGCAGACATACTGGGAGTGTAGCAGGCATACTGGGAGTGTAGCAGACATACTGGGAGTGTAGCAGGCATACTGGGAGTGTAGCAGGCATACTGGGAGTGTAGCAGGCATACTGGGAGTGTAGCAGACATACTGGGAGTGTAGCAGACATACTGGGAGTGTAGCAGACATACTGGGAGTGTAGCAGGCATACTGGGAGTGTAGCAGACATACTGGGAGTGTAGCAGGCATACTGGGAGTGTAGCAGGCATACTGGGAGTGTAGCAGGCATACTGGGAGTGTAGCAGGCATACTGGGAGTTTTAGCAGGCATACTGGGAGTGTAGCAGACATACTGGGAGTGTAGGCAGGCATACTGGGAGTGTAGCAGACATACTGGGAGTGTAGCAGGCATACTGGGAGTGTAGCAGACATATTGGGAGTGTAGCAGGCATACTGGGAGTGTAGCAGGCATACTGGGAGTGTAGCAGGCATACTGGGAGTGTAGCAGACATACTGGGAGTGTAGCAGGCATACTGGGAGTGTAGCAGACATACTGGGAGTGTAGCAGACATACTGGGAGTGTAGCAGGCATACTGGGAGTGTAGCAGGCATACTGGGAGTGTAGCAGGCATACTGGGAGTGTAGCAGGCATACTGGGAGTGTAGCAGGCATACTGGGAGTGTAGCAGACATACTGGGAGTGTAGCAGGCATACTGAGAGTGTAGCAGACATACTGGGAGTGTAGCAGACATACTGGACTGATGAAGCCACTGTGTGGCGAAACGTTTCCTGAATAAAGATTCCCATATGCTGCATAAGTGTCTCAATCTTCAACTTGTCGGTTTTTCAAACCATTCATCACAACTGTCAGACACTGCAGCATCATGGGATCTTCTTACAAAGAATTCTTCAACGCTTGTTCAACCTTTGGACAAAGACCTACTTCGACTAGTGGATGGTACCACTATGATCCCGCCTCCGTCTGCTTCAAGTCACCTCACTACAGTATATAAGCCACGTCTACGGCCCTATGCTGTACATTCTACAAGATTGATGGACTGAACACATCGACTCCAGGCTGAGGGACTGATTACCACTCATACTCCTCCTCTCCTTACGCCTTCCTCTTTGTTTTGGACTGATGAAGCCACTGTGTGGCGAAACGTTTCCTGAATAAAGATTCCCATATGCTGCATAAGTGTCTCAATCTTCAACTTGTCGGTTTTTCAAACCATTCATCACAATATATATATATATTTTTTTAACAAGTCGGCCGTCTCCCACCGAGGCAGGGTGACCCAAAAAGAAAGAAAATCCCCAAAAAGAAAATACTTCCATCATCATTCAACACTTTTGCCTCACTCACACATAATCACTGTTTTTGCAGAGGTGCTCAGAATACAACAGTTTAGAAGCATATACATATTAGGATACACAAGATTTCCCTCCAAACTGCCAATATCCCAAACCCCTCCTTTAAAGTACAGTCATTGTACTTCCCATTTCCAGGACTCAAGTCCGGCTATATAAAAATAACCGGTTTCCCTGAATCCCTTCACTAAATATTCTGTATATATCTACCTGAATATATATATTTTTGTAATATTAGTTTAAATAACCTGTGAAGAGGGCTGGAGAAAGGATTTCAGAGACACTGAGGAGGATGAAATATGAAAGTATTACCCTAGACTGATAAGGCCTTAATGTAAAAGCTACCCACACACTAGAACATGTAGTGAGAACCATATTATCAAAGTATAAGGGACAACAATGTAACACCGGTAAAGTGTTGGTTTCTAGTGATTCACTGAAGAGTAATGCAATGGTGGGTGAAAGGATGTGAGCTGCCTGTTTGTACAGTAGTAGTGGTACTTGGGTTACATTTATTGATTTGTTTTATAGAGAGTTAATAATCATAGTAACCTCAGTGAGCTCTGTTGGTGCAAGGTAGAGGGACATTGGAAGTTTCCATCTAAATAATCATTAGCTCGGGCACTGGTCACTGGAATTTTACTGGCGAGATTTGATCCTATGGTTGAGAAGAAGTCATTTATCTTGTTATCTGTATCAATAGGCTGGAGTTTTGGTTCATTTGGTTTAGTTAGTACAATATTACTAGCTCTGTTCAGTTTGTGGGTGCCCAGGATCTGAGTGTTTTCCAGGTCTTTTTTGTTTCCTCTCATTTCAGTGAATCTATCAGAAATGATTAGATCACTACTTGATCATATCTGGACCAATGCTATATCTCCACTAAAAGCAGGCGTAATCACAGACAGCACTTCGGATCACTATCCAACTTCTCGACTACATGATATTGACGAATGTGTCAAAATATTCCTACGTAAACTCATAACCCCTATAATAAACATTATCCAATGAAAATGAAGCAGATATCAGCACAGACTAAACAGCCCCTGGCTTTCAAATAGTATACTTAACCCTTTCAGGGTCTGTGCCGTAGATCTACGGTTTTACATTAAGGGTCCAAACCGGAGAGCTATGCCATGAGCTCAGCTCACTCTGATAAGCTGCGAGCAGTTAATTTGGGCCTTGATATGAGAAAATACATCTATGTGGTATGTGTGCACCACATAAAACAAATCCTGCAGCACACAGTGTATAATGAGAGAAAAAAACTGAGACCGTAATTTTCGATTAAAACAGCGACTTTGCAGTGTTTTTTCGTATGTTTTTTATAGGCGCATTTGCAATTTCTTGGTCTCATTTGATAGAATGGAGATTTTGATATGATTTTGATTGGTTTTAGTACTGGAAATAACTTGAAACTGAGCTCAAAGTAGCAGAAATGTTAAATTTTTGCCATCACAAATCCGGCAATCAGTTATTCGGTTCC